GGGCCAAGCAGCATTTATCCTGAGGTGAGGTGCTCGTGCTGCCAAAGCAAAACGCCTGTGCACCCAACTGGCATGCAGACATGTCTGACAGCCACCCATGGAAGAACTAATCAGTAATGTGCCCTCCACAACCTTCTCCTGCATCCAGCTAAACCCCAGGAGTGCAGCAGTGCTTGCTTAGTGGGCATTAAGCATCTAGGATGGGCAGGGGGGATGCAGGGAAAGCAGAGGGAGTAGGAGAGCAGAGTCCATTCGAGGAACAGATGTATGGAGGAGGTGTAGGACTCTCAGGGATCTAGGCACTGTTAACTGCAAAGAAGTTTTGGGGAGCTGCTGACTTAGGTGTGCCGTGAAGCATCAGAAGCACGGGAAACCTTTATAGCCAAGTCACTCATCAGACAATGACTCAGGTCCCAAACACCCACCTCGCCTGCCCTCTGTCAGAAAAGGGTTGGAAAAATATTGCCCAGCTCTTTACACAAGGCCTTTTGTTGGCTGGTCAGCTTCAAAAACATTTCTTTTCTCCCCCAAGTGACAGCGCTGCCATGAAAAACAGGAAGAGATTGAATACAGTAATTTAAACAGTCAAACTCCATTTCCTGCCAAAAGGAAAAGAAAATACCAGCAAAAGGCAGAAGCCAGGCAATAGTTGGGGACAGACACTTTGATTATCTTGGACAGATATTTGCACTGTGTATCCGGTAAAAGCTACAGCAAAGGAGGTGACACCTTTTCATTTCAGGGACTGGAGTCTGTTAGGCTGCAGAGCAGCAGGTGATGCTGTGAGGCAGATCAGGCCGATGAGGAGACCAGGATCTCCCAGGATAGCAGCCCAGGTTTGCAAACAGCTCCTCAGCTGACAGCCGGGATCACGTGCCAACAACACACCGTGTTTGGGACTTCATTGCCAACCAAGGCTTCAGCAAGGATCCCCATTCCTCTCGCATGTCCCCAGCAGGCCCTGGTGCCCTCGTGTTGCTTTGGGGTCAGTCTCCAATACCCTCCTCTTCTTCATCCGTGCTCGTATGTCCCACACAGTTCACCTGCTTGGTCCCCAAGGTAGAGGGGAAGGCTTCCCTGGCTCCACTTCTGAGAATCCCAGTAGTGAAATCATCACTGGGCTTCAAAATGCACCTATTGTTAATCCTATTCCATAGTAACGAAAATCAGCAAATCCCCCAATGATCAAGTCCTGTACCAAAATGGCTCATTTACATCTCCATCCTCCTCCCAAACTGCCTTTTTTTATGGGTTTGGTTTTGGTTTGCTTTTTTTTTTTAAAGAAATCCAGCATTTCCCAACGGTATCAACAGTTAATTACAAAGTTTACGAGGCGTATTTCAACTACAGCCTTCTTTATCCAACATGAAGATTGTTTTCTGTTTTAAGCAGCCTATTTTTTTTTCCCTCCAGAGCAGCCCTTCCTCCTGCTAACCCCCTGCACATCCATGCAGTCTCGCTCCCCTCGCTCCATACGTTGATGCACCACCGAAGTGGTCACGTTTTGGTGACACACAATGCTTTTGCTCGATAGCCAGAGGGGATGGAGTTGCTCTCTGTGTCTGCGTAAGTAGGAACAGCTTTGGTATCAGGAAAGGAGATTTAGATTAGACATGAGGGAAAGCTTCCTAGCAGCAAAGACAGATCATGTAAGGAGAGAGAGGAATCTCCATCGCTGGAGGTTAAGAACAGGTGAGACAAATATCCGTCAGAAGTGTTATAAGTAGGGCAGGAGGGCAAATCAGATGACCTCATAAGACTCTTTTTTTACCAGCCTCATTTTTCTCTGATTATATGAATTTCTAAGCATTTGGGGTCAAGTGTACTGTTTAAATATAAGCTATTATCCTGTATTTGCAGAGAGGAAAACCAGAGAGGTATTACCTGGGACTGTTCATCACCTGAGTGAACATCGCCAATTTGCAAATCAACTGCCCAGACATAAAAATCCATCATTTTTTCCTGATTTATGCTGAAGAGTAATAGGACACCTATAACACAGGGACAGAGGAGGAACGCACGTTGATCTATTCATCTCCGGTCTTTTATATTTCCCATTCTGGCAATTCTTCTATCAAGCTGCTGAAATCTGCAGTACGCACACGTGCTTGGCACGAGAGAAGCCCAAGCGCGTTACACGGTTGTGTCTCAGTCCTTTGCCTTCACGTTGGCTTTGCAAACCAGACCAGGGCAAGTCTCCAGGGCACCCGACCCTGCAGGACATCTGGAGACCCAACGCCTCCTGCTGTTATGTTGATCGTGAGACACAGCACGTCCAGCCCAGCTTGCTGCCAGGTCCTACCTGACCTCAGCTTTCCAAGCTCCGGCTGCGCCAGCAAAGTTGCCTGACCAGAGAAGCTGCAGACTTTGCTCTGTATTACTCCATCCAAGTGCACTCCTCCCCCACATCCCTGTAATTATTTGCATGCGTATTGCAGGTTAGGAGAGCTGAGTGGGGAATGGTCCCCAAGAGACTGCTCTTGCCCTGAAGTGGCCTTGAGCAAGCATTACACCAAGGCAGGAAAAGAAGCATCCTAATATGTGAATCCCCTTTGAGTCACTTATCGCCCTATTAGAAAAATATTTGTTACCAAAAGCCAGACCTGACCACGCACCAAGATGTGAGAACAGTGTGGTGAGCCCAGCTCCATAACCCATGGTCCTACAGTTAATACCACAAAGAAGGGCTGGAATATGTCTTCTAACAGTGTTTCTCTGCAATGTTAGATGAGGGTTTCCCACCGCTCATCTCTACCCATGTGCTCAATGCCAGGAGCATCAGCTGTATCTGTTCACATGCAGGATTTCGGCTGCTGAAGGCAGGGCAGCGGAGCTGAAGTTCGGGTCCAGCCTTGAGCACAGGCAGGTTAAGCCTCTGTTTGCACCAGCAGAGAAATATTTGACGTCCACACAAACCCAGGGAAAGTCTCAGTGATGGCTTTGTAATTGGTTTTAGAGCTGCTTCAAATACACGTGCAGAGCAGCAGTGCTGGTGGACGGCTGGCAAGCAGGACATCAGCACAGGAGACAGGGCCCTCACAGACATATATCCAGGCTCCAAAATACTTCACCAACCATCAAATATTTTCCAAGCTTAGCGGCTGGACTCTGCAACCCTTCCAGCAGCCAAGTCACTAATACCTCTTCCCTTGGGCAGCACAGCTGATCTCAGGCAGGGCTTGCCAGCAGCTCTAAGTAGACTCATTTAAGGAGAGGACAGCCCACTTAGTTACACTTTTCAGGCTCCTGTTTTTTCTTCAGGGATCTCCAGGCTCTCTCTCCAGCTGTGAAGCATTAGCATCTCTGATTCACAGTGAAGAAATGCAGTCACAAATATGTTCTAACAGTTTTTCCCCTGCTGTGTCACCCACTCCCTAGCTCCTTGTCCTCTCCCCAATCTCTGCAGTCCTCTCCCTCCAAATTCAGCCTGGTATATCAGTCATCTTGGTCCAGGACTCACCCCAAGGGACACAAGAAACCCATTGTCCTTTTTGCTCCTGTCTAAAGCCACCGAAGCCAGGTGACTGACAGGTTTCAAACCTTCTGATTTGAGAGGTCCGGTATTGCAAGCATTAGTGTGGAGCACAAGCAGTGCTGATTTGCAAATGCGTGGAGAGGCTTAACAGCCCAGGAAAGTAACTCCAGTGGGAAGCTCCCATCTTAAATCTAAAGGCAGCTCTTTGAATGTGCAGAGGCCTTGAGGCTAAACAAAAAAAAAAAAAAAAAAATCAAAGCCAGATTTGGGCATAGCCTTTCTCCCTGTGCAATACTCCACAGGGAGCTTTGCAGGTCTAGGCAGAAGCGATCCCAACTGGAGTGAAGGGCCTGTCCCTCCGCACGTTCGGTGGGGGAGCGTGAGAGCAGTGTAAGGTCAAGCAACGATGTTGAGGGCACCGGTGTAAGGGGGAAATAGGAACTGGTAAGGCAGGATCAGTCTCCCTGCGATGAAATTTCTGCCTGCGTTCCTCTTGGTCTGTCCTTGTCCTGCAAAGGAACAACAGCAGGGATCCCCCAGCAAAGGAGGCACGAGTACAAAGGGAAGCCGGAGCAATCCCATATCCCGAGCCCTGACTCTGCCTTGAGATTACGGGGCAGGAAAGCGCTCTGGTGTTTCTCCGTATTCCCTTTGCTCAGACTTGAACTTGCCTCTCACTTGAAAGAGCTAATTAAGGAAGGAAATCAAAGCCCAGAGAGGCGGCTATTACAGCAGCCTGGGTGCAGTGCCGGCTGTAATGCTGATTTCTGTGCATGGTATCAAAGTCAGCCGTATACTGGCGGGGCTGACGCAGGTTTCTGCAATGACACTTTAGCAAAACGACAGAATAAACTAAGACAATTTCTAAGGACCATTTGTAGGTCAGGTAGACCAGCCTCTTCCCCAATCCTGCCCTTAAATCTTGCAGCATTTAATCCTTGATCTGCAGCCAGGCCTTAATTTTTCAGAGCAGAGAGAGCACAGAGCTGGCTGGAAACTGGAAGTGGAGGGACTTTGATGGTTAATGACCAGTGCTTCTCAGCCCTAGAAGAAACGAAGCCCTGGCTTCACAGAGCTCCCTGAACAAATCCTGCTCTGACTCCAGCTCAGGGAAATAAAATTACACCAGCAGACATAGAAACCAGCCTTTGACATTATCTAGGTCCTATTTTGGTTCAGGTTTGAGCCAAAACTGCACAAGGAAGGGACATTTCATCCCTAATGAATTGCACAGTGAAGTAACAATAGGCCAATTCCTCCAATAGATTCCAAGGCCCCTTGGCTTAGTTTAACAGCAAACATACCATGGCTGGGGAGGTCAGAAAGTGATACCTTCCTCAACTTGTCCATGAGCAAACTGAGGCATGAACTGGTTAAAATACATGGTGTGGTTGGATGAAGGAATAGCCAGGACTGGGACAAAGCAGTCTCAGTTCCTTGGTCCCTGCTTTAATTGTTGACCAACGCTCTAAGATCTGTGAGTACATTAGGAGGTTGAGTTTGGGTGCTTAGGGGCTTCACTTACCGCACTGCTACAGGGAATGTCCTTGACTTTGAGCCAGGCCAGATCTAACGTCCCCTCTCCCCTGTAGCAGGACTGCAGTCTGTCCTTGATGCGATCGTTGATCTTTTTCAGGACAAAGATGCAAAGAGCAGACTCATCCAATGACTTCATCTTCCTTTTCTGCCCCTTGGAGAAGACTGTGAAGAGGATATCATCCTCAGGGCCAACACCCAAAGACCTCGCTAAGATGGCTCCAGCCTTAGACAAGTAGGCTGCCTGGAGCAACCGGTACTCCACCCCATTCTTCTCACAGCCAATGGGCACCTCAACATAGGAGTTAAAGGCTGTGTCCTCCTTACAAAGACGGACCAGCTTGGAGGTATAAACTTGCTCCTTCGTGGTAGAGCCAGGTGGTGAAATCATCTCAGGCTGCAGAGTTAGGAAATAGACAAAGTTACCACTGCTGAAGCCGTAGATGTAGTAGATATCGAAGTCAGGGATGATGGTAAAGGTGTCTGAGGGGATCTTGATCATAGAGGCCACAAATTCATCATGAAAGACGTACGCAAACATCCCATCTGCCTCAGAGTTCTTGGTGAGCTTTCTGCTGGAAATAGTGGGGAAATACTCAGGTTTGCCATCCACGGCAGTGGCAATGAACAACTTGTCATCCATGTTGCTGTAAGAAACAATGACTCCAAAAACAGAGCCACTCTCATTCACCCCAGAGAGATAATGCTCCTTCTTGTGGAAGGGTTCTCCCAGCTTGAAGAGGTCATCCAGCCTCAAAAGCTTGCAGATGCCCTGGTAAAGACTCCCACAGGCTATCAATCGATTCTCCTTGTAGTCTATGAGGAGCATTTTGTTTATGTTGTTAGTGGGCGTCAAGGGTTCATTGCAGGTTTGGACTATCCTGGGAGGATAACACTTGGGATTATCTTCATCAGGACCAGTCTGGTGGGTCACAAGGACCTTCAGGTCACTGGAGAGTTTGTAGATCCTGTTGACAGCTCCCAAGTAAATGTGCCCAGTTCTTTCATCAACCACCAAGTGGTTGAAGTTCCCCTCTGCTTGGTCTCCAGTGAAAGTGATGAAGGGCCTCTTTGGGTGGAGTGGCTGCTGCTTACCAAGAGGCGACACTGTGGTGGATAGTAGGAGGTGAGAAACCAGGCAAGTCCATTTCCACATGGCCGGCGACATGATTAGAAAGGTTTGTATTCCCAAGAGAACAAGGATTAAGAGCTGTAAGAGTCTTCAAAACACCAATTCCCTGGCAGATTTTGCCCTACAAGCAAAGAGAAAAGAAAACAAAAGTACATTACTATGGAGTATTCCTTCCCCCTCCCTCCTTCACAACCATGCCATCATCAGAGCGTATTTAATTGCTAATCCTTCCTTTCTCGTCTCCGAGCTCTCTGCTTAAAACCAGCACAAAGGGAGCCCTCCTGAAAGAAAAGATGCTGGTAGAAAGAGCAGAAATCACATAGCATAATAATAAATCAGCACCCTTTTACTCTCCGTTACACACACACATGCCCCATGGTGCAGCGCAAAAATTCACTGGAAGCCAGAGCAGCGCAGAAGGGTAATGGTAGAAACATCAGGCAATACTGCAGTTTGCAGTGCCAACTTTGACCCAACTGCGTATTTGCTATCTAAGAAGACAGGACAGGAGAAGGATTATTATCCTGCTCTTCTGGGTGAGGGACTGAAGCCTAGAGAAGGTCAGAGACCTGCCTACAGGGACAGATCCAGATGGATGCCGAGCTCTTTTGCAATCCTTGAAGTTTGCCAGGAAGAAGCCAGCTCTGGTCTGACATTAACATCTTTTCAGGGAGACCTCGGTCCAGAACGGGACTGTTTGAACAGGCTTTCCGTGGCTTCCAGATCAAAGCTGCCTCATGCCGGTCCAGCTTGGAGTACAGACGTAGGAGCTGTGGTGCGCCAGCCTTCACTGCCACATCTACCAAGGGCATGCAGCCAAGCACAGAGCAAACTGAGCACCAGGTCTCCTCCCTCCCCTGGGCTCTCACCACAAAAGCGCTCTCCACCCACTGCACAGCCAAGAAAACATTGTCTAAAAGAGAGATACAGTTCCCCTGGGCATCTCAGATGACTGAGGAGAAAGGGGTTGCCTAATTATTAGCACTAATAAAGTCTAAAGGACCATAAAGTAGGAAAACTAACAACCCAGGGACCAGCATGGTGACTTTCCAAAGAGAGGAAATGGGGTTTCCTTGCACTACTCAGACTCTTAAAATCTCCCAGTATATAACCAGTGTGGTGGGAGCATTATGGAGTTCAAATAGTTCCTGTAATTTGGTGAGCACATCACCAAGTCCCATCCTCGTGCCACAAAAATGCATCTTCCTACTCAACACATCCATCTGCTCCCTGGTCCTACACCTTTTCATGGCTGCTTTACCCCCTTACTGCCCCACAGAGCACATGGGAGATGGAGTCCTACCAGTTCAGATCTCACCAGTCAAGCTCCTTGATGACTGCTAACTACAAAACCTTTGTTACTGGTGGCCAGGCTGAGGCACACAGGTCTTTCCTCCCTCCATCACTCTTTAACATCCAGATCAAAATTTCACAAAACTGTTCTTGATTTTAAAAAGGACACAAACCAAACCCCAGGTCCACTGCTGCACGCCAGTGTCCTATCACTTCTCTCACAGAGTGACTTCGCTGAAATCAGGGGTGTAAGTAGCTGAGCAAAGGTGATGACAGCCAGCCCCGTGCAAGCAGGAGGCAAGGGAAAAAACACTGTTTGCAGATCCCAGCAGGGAGGAAGATGTGGCAGTGACACAGGTCTGGATTTGCAGCTCTGCTAACACCAGTGGAACTGAAAAATTTACTTCAAGAAATAATAAAGAGAATAAATCCCGTTTTCTTTTGACCTGTAGACTGATTAGATCTGATAGTGGAAAGGGTAAGTCTGGGCTTGCAGAGCATCCACCACTTTTATGCCACCCCAAATATTTCAAAATTCTCACAGCAGCCAGCATTTCAAAGCTGTTGTATGATCACCTTCACCTCCCACTGCCCTCCCTACCGCAGCAGCCGCAGGCGTTGGATAGATGACGGACAAAGGTCATTTCACATTTACTTTAGGCATGTTTACCCTGTTCTGCTTTGCCTTTCTGGTCAAGCAAATATTTAATAAAATCAAGCTTATACTGCAGAGTTGGCAAGACTGTCTTGCAAGCAGGAGAGGTTTCGCTCGGCAGGGATACGCAGGCTGGTCACGTAGGCTTTTAATAACCTTTATAATGATAGATAGAGCAGCGATGGGATGAGCTCTCCCTGCACAACCATTCCTCTTTCAAAAGAGGCCATCCTTGAGAGAGCAGCAGAAGAGGGAAGCTGTCCCTGTTTGAGTCCTGTGTTCAGAAACATCACGTGGCGACCCTGAACACCAGCTCCCGTCACTTATGAGTTATGATCCATATTTCTAACAGACACTGGTTTGATCGGGCACTAGACAGATCTAGGAAGAAATTATTCTTTTCAAGTACTAAAAAGATATCTATTTTACCCCTATATTTTACTCTATTTTGCTCCTCTTAGCCCTGCAGAGTCAGCACAGCTGCAGGACAGGGAAATGGAAACTGCTGTGACACAGAGAATGAAGAGGTAACGAACAGCCCCTCTTCTGCAACAGGAGCCCTCTGCCCAAAGGTCGTCACAACACCCAGGAGTAGAGTTACAACAACAGGAGGAAATTTGCCCATTAAATTAAGCAGCCAACACAACATAAGAGGAGATATGCCCCAGACGTGAAATCTTTGAGGCCCAAGCGGGTGAGAATTGTGATTGACTTTGGGGTGAGACTGCCACTCGTAGAGGAAGGGGATGGCAAGGGGAACCTTCCTCCAGACAAAGGCAACAAATTTGATCTGGAAACCAAAGAGACCCCAGTGAGAAGCTCCAGCACCATAAGCCACCAAGCAAGTGCAGGAGCAGCCTTTTGGGACAAAGCAGGGAGAGCAGGAGAGCCTGGGGCTCTCTTGCCATCTTCCATCAGCCATCTGAGTGACCCCAGGAGCAGGATTTTCTCTCTGTACACCACTGGCACTCACTCTTTCTCTCCCATCTGCTCACGTTGTTTGCCCTGCACCCTCTGTCCTAGAGTCCCAATCAGTACTTGAGCCTCTAAGGGCTATAATTTATAAATTGACTTAATTAAGTCAAATAAATAACAGCAGAGGGCAGAGGCAAGGAGGACTCACTGTTTAGCTTGCAGAAGAGAGCAGGGTTTGTACTACCCCTTAGAGGATGCACCAAGGAGAAGGGGGTTATACGTGTCTTTTTATTACGCGTGTCTGGATAGCAGAAATCACAGCCACTGGGAAGACAAATAATACAGTGTCATAGACATACCCATTCTCTTAGGCTGCTCGGGCTACAAGAGAGTAATTATATTATAAATAAAAAGCAAACAAACAAAAGGCCACAGTGAGCTGGCAGTGGGGTCTGGGCTTAGGTTCTGAGCTGGGTATTTCCAAAATAAACCCAAAACGCCTTCCCACAATGACCAGGCTCGCTCGCCTTTCCCCCCAGAGACGTGACCAGCAGTGATGCCATGACCCACCACGGAGGGCTCCTGTGTGACACCAGACTGTCCCTCTACATGGCTCCTGCTGCAACAGTCTCTTCACCAACACATTCAAGGTCCCCGGGGAGGTCACACAGCCTCTTCTTCCCCAGGGA